GAGAGAGAGAGCACACACAAAGGGGACAGCAGCCGGTGGAAGGAGCAGCAGACTCCCTGCTGAGCAGAGAACCCTATGCAGGACTCCATCCGGGGACCCTGGGATCATAACCCTGGCTGAAGGCAGATGATTAACTAACTGAGCCACCCAGGTGTCCCCCCCCCCCTTTTTTTAGGTGCCTCCTTTTAAAGAACACTCAGGATCAAGGACAGTGTCTTCTTTCATCACTAAAACTTGTTTCCGGTGAGTATAGGTTACATATGGCCTCATAATTTATCTCAAAATATTCTAGTGTTTTGCCAATTTCTATAAAAACAGAAAATGCAATAAAACTTTGATAAATTTATTACTAGCTTTTTTTTTTTTTTTTTTTTTTAAAAGACAAAGCTAGACCTTTGGTCATAGAACTTCCAAGTTTTTTTTTCTGTGTGAAGCAATTTATACCACATCATTGTCAATTAATTTTTATTTTATGAGCTCACAGCTCCAAGCAGTTATATGTCAAAGGCATTCTTTGTATTTAATAGAGTCCTGATAAATGGGTCTACACATAAGAATTGCCTTAGGACTTTCTGTTTGTTGTTGCATTAAGAATGAATATGTCATTTGCTTAGTACCTAAAAAGGTCAGACACACAGGTGTTAAACACACACACACACACACACACACACACAGATAAAGACTTTGCTGGAATTAAATAATATTTAATAAAAGTTAACTGCAAAGGATAACATTTGATTTTCAAAAAATAACCCTTAAAAAGGGGGCATTGACATGGTCACCGGAAGAAACCTGCAAAAGCTTCCAGTGTCCAAAGCTGGAACAATTTGAGCAACAAAACTAACATAGTATTGACTTGTTATTCAAAGTGTAATAAATATGCATAAGTCCAACAGATATAAATAAATAACTGAATGAATAAATAAATGAGGGAGAAGAGGACAATCTCACAGAATTCCATATTACATATGTAGATACTCTGTCCTCAGGAGGCAGGCTTAATTCCCCTCCCTCGATTGTGGGCTGGACTTAATAACCCACTTCCGAAGAAAAGAGAATGGAAAAGGAGAAAAAAAACTTCCTTTGTGAAAAAGTTGGCAGACATGACCTTCACCAAGTGATCAAGGTTAAAGTCAAGCCTTCAACAGGGCTACTTTAGTAATGGAAGGCAGATCATGGGAATGAGAAGGCACATCTTTATATCACTGTGATGTAATAGTTTTATCCTTCTCTCCTTAGACCTAATTTTGACGAGTTGGAAGTCAGTGTCTCCAAAAGTTTCTTCTTGGAGTAACTAAACATTTAGATAAGATTAATGAATGTTACAGTAATACAGTGGTTCTCCACTGTAGGAGTTCATTCCTCCCTATGCACCCCCAGATTCGGCAGTGTATGTGTCTGTGTGTGGGGGTGCTGATATGTAGTGGGTAGAGACCAGGAATGCTGCTAAACATGGTACAGTGACCACCACAACAAGGAATTATCTGGCACCAAGTGTTAGTAGCTCTGAGACTCAGAACCTGAAACTAATTATATACATACACCTAACAGATGTTTATTGGGTACCTACACTACCCCATACCAGGATACATTTTCCAGATGATCCAGAAAGGACACGGTCTGTCTTCTCTGGAAGCTTAAAATCATGTCTACAATCAGAAAACGGGGGGACTATTTTAGCACCATATACCACCTTTTCTATATAAAGGTCACACTTGCATGCAAACAGGAACCAGAGTGAGTAGTCCAGATAAGTGTTCCAGGTTGTCTAGAAAGGTAAAGGGTTGTCTAGAACAGCTCTGTGTAAGAGTTGGGACTTTCAGTGGCCTTTGACAAACCCACACACCTTATACACAGTGAGCAGGGAAGAGGAAGATGGAAAGAACTATAATATTTTAGAGATACCAGGGATATTCTAGGAATGAAACAGGATCTGAATAGTCACAAAGACTGTTGGTACACGCTTCTTTCAGATGCTACTCACAGAGTGGGTCATAGTTTTTTCACACAGACGGAGATCTCAGTGTGGGGGGATGGGTGCATCATCAGAATCCAGGTGAAGCCAATGGATAGAAAAAGCTCCTTAGATGATTGATTTTGAAGGGGACCTCCCCCATCTCGCCTTCTGAGAATCCTTGCCTTCACAGATTGTCACTTCTCTGGCGGTATCGGCTGTCACAGACGTGTGTAGGCTAATATTCTTTTCCTTCTGCTCAGATCATTCCTCACTGATAACTTTTTCCAAACTTTTTGCCCTTTGTGCCCCACCCCCATTTTTAAAATATGTGATCAGTAGCTGGATTATATCATTGTTAATGGATCATTACTACTCTTCTTAATGATGAATAGCAGCACCTTCAAAGCTCTTTGGAAGTAGATATTGGAGATTCCACTGGTTGAAAAAAAAACAGAATTCTTGCCAGACTCTTGCTGACGAAGGGGGGACTTCAAACACTTTAAGCCACGCATCCGACCAATAGATGGCGCTCTCTTCCCTTTGTGTGAATGAGTTATGAATGAATACGCTCTCCCTTTGCCCTCCCCTCCCCCAAGCGCTGTTGTAGTGAAAACCAATCTGTCCTCAAGTCCTCACCGAATCTTTAAAAAATTCATCGTCTTTTCTTTCGGGGCAGTTTAATGCAGACCCTCCCCATCTGTCTTCTATAGTATTCTAACACTCCTGCTTCTGGTATCCTTCTGTCCTCTCCCCTCCAACACTGCCATCAGAAATCACTTTTCTGGGGTGCCTGGGTGGCTCAGTGGGTTAAAGCCTCTGCCTTCGGCTCAGGTCGTGATCCCAGGGTCCTGGGATCGAGCCCCGCATCCGGCTCTCTGCTCAGTGGGGAGCCTGCTTCCTCCTCTCTCTCTTTCTCTCTCTCTCTCTCTGCCTGCCTCTCCGCCTACTTGTGATCTCTCTCTCTCTGTGTCAAATTAAAAAAAAAAAAGATCACTTTTCCAAAAACAGATTGCTGAAAAATGGTGTCCTGGGGGAATGGAGTGGGGAGGCAATGGCGGGAGAAGGGTCAAGGGTAAAGTGGAAACCTTCTCCCGCCAACAGATTTGTCTCACCTGGTTGCAGTGAGGGTGGGGGAGGAAAGGTAACTGACTAGCAGGGGAAAGGTACATTCAGAGTCTTGATCTCCCTGCCAAGGAATTTTGACTGGCTCAGTAGGCCACAGAGAATGAGTGAGAGGTTCTAAAGGTGGCAGGATTAGAGCTGTGCTTGAACAAGATTAATGTGACCAGGCATGCGGATGGGCTGAATGAAAAGGAAGTTTAGGCAGCCTAGCAGAGTCAAGAGAGAAGCACATAGAGCCTGATTTGCTGCCTGGGAAAGGAGGAGAGGTAGTTCCTCAACCACAAAAAGAATTTCAGTAAACACAGGAAGCGTCTAGGAAGCTAGGAATATATCCACAGGGCTCTGCTGTCCTGTGCGTGTGTATGTGTGGTTTAGCCAGTGCATTGCCTAGCTGCCTTTGCGAAGAGGATCGGGCGCCAGAAAGCGAAACCACTACACTTGTTTTCAAGTAAGAAGTGGGGAAAAAAGGAAAAACAGCTTGAGCTTCTTTCCGTATCACAGGCTTTCAATGTGTTATTATTCACCACTACAGTGTCAGATTTAGATTTTCCACCTCGAGGAATTCGGTTTAGCTTTAATTAGTTGCTGTGAATATTTCTGAGCCAACTCTGGGAAGCATTTATCTAGAGAATAGTTTTCCCTAAAATATAAGCTGGATATAGGGAGTTGTTTTTCTGTGAGGCTTTGTATCATGTTCACACAGTTATAGATTCTCTCCAGCCATCTGCGTGATTTTCGCCACGGCCCACCAGAGTTCCACTGGTTATTTCTTTATTAATCATAATTTTAAATACTATAATATCGAGACCATCTGGAGCACCAGCCAAGCTCCATGCGTAGCTGTAGGGCTGTACCGCACACATATTTTTCTGAGAAAAGATGATGCTTGCAGGTTATTCTGCATAGAGGCAAACGAGGCATTTTTCATCCAGCAACTTTTCAGAAAAACAAGCTTAAAAATACCAGACAAATGAAAAACAGACTTCAGCAGTTACTTGCAGCTTCCTGAGTAACTGAAGAATGTGCCTCTTGTGGTTAAAATGAGGGATCTGTTTAATATGGATGAAGTACCAACACTCCAGGCATTTTCATTGACATTTCACTGTGACTTTCTGAACTTAGGAGTGCTGACAGGAAAACGTCCTTTTGCTGCCCCGAGAAGCCTGCGGTCGGACAGCAGAGCAGGCCAGGAGAGCTGGAAAGGCGACCTCCGCCTCACGTTCCCTCTGCTCGGGGGCTTCCTTTTCTTCCACGCTGTGGCACTTCCCAGTTATCCAGGATTCGCTCTCCGAAACCGGTCAGGAAACCAGGCAAGAGTTGGGTCTCAGGCGCCCAAAGCCCATCGCCTCTCTAGCGCTGGGTGTGCTCCCCGGACCAAAGTGAAAACGCTCTGTAAAGACCTTCTCCAAAGGTCAAGAAACAAGGATGCACCTGGAAACCAGAAGCTACGCGGGGGGGCGGGCAGAGCACCCTTGGCACCCAGGGAACGTCTAGAGAACAGATTCAGAGGGTAAAGGAGCCAGGGAAGCCCCCTTTCCCGATCCTCGCCAGCGCCGGCCGGGCTCGGCTCCGGGGCAGTCCTGCCGTCTGGCAGGAGCCGGGGAGAGACATGCTGTTTTGTTTAAATCCTCCACATTCTTTGCCATTTCCCCATTGGCCGGATGGGGCTACCCTCCCCATCGCGGCCGCTGCTGATGTCAGCCTCGCTGGCGCTCGCTCCTCCCGCACCCACCTCCCCGGCCCGAGGCACACTGCAGCTCGGCGCGGACTCTCCGGCCCCGGCGCGGTGGCTGCAAACTCGCCGGCACGCACGGCGCGCGGGGAGCCGAGGGACTCGGGGGAGGGGACGTGCGCGGAAGGCGCCAGCTTCCTCTCGCCCGCCCCTCGCCGCCGCGAGCCCAGGTTGGAGGAACCCCGGGCCCCAGCCCGACTGAGCCGGGCGGCGGCAGCGGCGGCAGCGGCGGCGGCTTCCTTTTTCTCCCGCTGCGAGCCCTGGAGCGCCTCGGGAACCGGCCCTAAAAAGAGCAGGAAATCTTGTTTACCGCCCGGGGAGAGGAGTCGATCGAGCCTTTGTCTGGAAAGTCAGCATCTCCAGCTCCGGCTGCAATGTGTTCCTGGTGACATTAGCATTGGCAGACCCGCCGGAGAAGGGGGGTCGCCAGGTTCATGTCTGCTTTCGGAGGCGGATCGAGCGGGTGACTTTTGTGCATTCGTTTTAATTTTCGGAAATCTCTCTTTTTTCCTCCCCGGCCCGCCACCGGGCATGTCCTGATCCGGCGGCCGCTCCTACCGCCCGGGGCTACCGATCTGAGCGGTTCCCAGCGGGTCTCCCTCCTCCCTCCCTGGTCCCTCCCTGACTTTGCAACACCGCGTTCCGGGAGGACCGAGCTCGGCGAGGAAGAAGGCGGGGGAGCCCCGAACACCCGGACCCGAACCTTGACATGCTCTCCGGCGGAGAGGAGGAAAACAGGAGCTGAGCGCACCGCCGGGGCTGCTTCGCCGGCCGGCTCCGAGCGCAGGGCTCCGGGCGCCCTGCCCTGCGCCTGGGCGGCAGCTTTGTTGCTTTGGGGGGCGCCCCCCGCTTCCCGCCCCGGGGGCGCGCGGCCGGCAGGACCATGCTGCTGAAGGAATACCGGATCTGCATGCCGCTCACCGTGGACGAGGTAAGCGCCGCGCCGGGCCCGGCCTCGCCCGCTCCCGGCCCCCAGCCCCAGGGCGCCGCGTACCCCGCTGCCGCCTCCCGGTCGACGGGTCCTCTGCGGGCGGCAGGGAAACCCTGCTGGAGCATTACCTCCCAAGCCAGAAGGCTGGAGGGGAGGAGGGAGGGGAGTTGCTGTTTCCACTTGTCACCCCAGCGGGGGAGGGCGGCGTTGGGTGGGGCGGTGGACTCTAGGTGGAGTCTTGGGGGTCGCCCAGAGCCCTGATTCCTGGGGATCCGGATGCACCAAAGGGAATTGGCGCGCCCCTCCCTCCAATTAATAAAATGAATAAGGCAAACCCAGGCGCCCCAAGCGTGTACTGGTAGCTTGGGGGTGGGGGCAGAGGCACCCCGTCCTGGCTTGGGCCCTGGCTCCGCTCCCGCGTTTTGCTGTAAGGTCTGGGTACGGGAGAAGCCTTTGCCCTCAGGATCTCCAGGCCCCGAGCCCCGCTGGGGGGCACCTCGGAGCCCTAAGGGAGTCCTCCTGGGCCCAGACTTCTCGCGGTCGTCGCCAGCCTGGGCGCCGCTCCCGCCACGCCCGCGCATCGAGGCTCCCAGATCTGGCCTCGACCTTTCGCAAACCGCCTGGCTCGGAAACTTTCTGCGTCTCTTGTTTCTTTAGTGGCGGGGAGCGTGGTCTGCGGGCGAGCCGGGAGCAGCGGGGACTGCGGCGCGGCCACAGGAGGGCGCTCCAGCACGTGGGTGCGGGGCCGGCTCCGGCTCCGGGTGCTCCCGCTGCAGGGCGGGCGGGGGGCGGGGGCTCGTCCTCCACCCTCTGCTCGGTTCCCCTATCCAGATCCCCCGAAGCAGCAAGCTCCATCACTCAGGAAATGATGACTCAGTGTGGACTATCCAGGCCCCGGCTTCCCCTTCTTCCCCCTCTCCTCCCTACCTTTTCAGTGCTTTCACAATGGCTTAGCGCCTGTCCAGGGACAGCAAGGAAGCGTGAAGCCAATCAGGGAAATTTGAAACTTACTAGTGTGGTTTAGTGTGCCAAAGAAGCCGGTGAGCCAAACAGTGTTTATGCTTAAATACAGAGCATTTAATCTGTCGGGTATGTTATTGAGTCATTACCTTATGGAAGGGGATAGGTGCTTTCGTGGGGGGGGGAGGTATTTAACCGATAAAGTGGCTGCGCTCCCGGGGGGGCTGTCTTACCTGGATCAGGTGTTAAGGCAAGACCCCAGTACAATCCAAGGCAAGATCAGAGTAGTTCCGAGTTGACAAAACATACATCCCAGGAACACTGACTACGGAAGAGAAAGGTCAACCCCCACCAGAATGATCATCTTAGGGTTCCTGCCTGTTCAGCGTTTGAGGAGGTGACGCTGGAGTAGAGTCTTGAAGGATGGACTCCATGTGGATGGCGTTAAGGTTTGGGAGGTGCATCCCGACCATGTGAATCAAGTGGAGGAGAGGCACGCTGTTGTGTAGGGTGGTGTGGGAGGCACATGAGTGACCCCGGTTAACCAGAGTACTTGTAGGAAAGGTTGAGCTCTTCCCACCCTCCCGGCGGAGCCCGGGCTGTTCAGCTTGGAGGTGTGTGCGCTTCGTCTCTCCCCAGTGACTTTATTTGTTGAGAGGAGTTTGGGATCCAGGAATAATGTTGGTATTGCAGGAAATGCCCCCAAACGGAGGGGAGAGTCAAGAAAATAACCAGTTCTAGAATCTTCTTACTACGTTCGAAATATTTTGCTTCTCTTTCTCCTAGTTGGTTTTCTTCGCAGGCTTTCCTGAACATTCAGGCACAGGTCTTAAGCAACGTATTTATTTATTTATTTATCTATGCTGGCAAAATACCCACCACTTCAGGGTGAAGTAATCACTTTCCAATGTGCAGGTGGAGGATTCCCCCCCCCCCCGTCCTTTCTTAATTGGCAAATGAAATCAGGCTTTGCATGTAATAGAATGTATAATTATGATTTAATTAATGTGTAATTCATTTGGACTAAAAGCATGATTCAGTTTCTTTTTTTTTTAAGATTTTATTTGTATTAGGTGACAAAGATTACAAGTAGGCAGAGAGGAAGGCGGGGCGGGGGGGGGGAGGAGTAGGCTCCCCGCTGAGCAGAGAGCTGGATTCGGGGGCTCGATCCCAGGACCCTGAGATCATGACTCCAGCCAGAGGCAGAGGCTTAACCCACTGAGCCACCCAGGCGCTCCCATGATTCAGTTTCTTAAAAAGTTATGCTTTGAAGTTAGTTTTCCACATGGTTAGGGAAGCAGGGGTCAGTTTAGATTGATAGAGGTTCCAAACTGATAGAATTTCAGATTTTCCAATCCAGGTGATAGGTGAGAAAACTAGGCCCCATGCACCAGGGGTTGGATTCCTGGAGTCTGACTGGTAGTAAATCCCCTGTGTCCACCATCCCCCGCCTTGAGCTGTGTCCTACTGCCCTTAACATTATTTTTTAAAACAGATTTTATTTATTTTAGAGACAGAGTGATAGAGAAGCGTACACACGCACACAGAGGGAGAGGGAGAAGCAGGCTCCCTACTGAGCAGGGAGCCTGAAGTGGGTCTTTATCCCAGGAACTGTGGGATCATGACCTGAGCCAAAGGCAGACAGACACTTAACCAACTGAGCCACCCAGGCGCCCCTGTCCTTAACATTAAAAACTGGGAAGGAACTTAACAGTGTCTTCAAAGAAGATGGTTACCATCAATTTAGGTAGACTCTTCTTTGAAACCTAGCTTTTGCTTCAAGGCGTTATTTGCTTCGGCCCTGATTCTGTCTACACAGTACTTCAGGAATTTTTTTCTGTCAAACCCCCATGGTTAGTCAGGAATGCCCATATTTTTGAAAATGAAGAGGGTTAGTGAGAGAACCAACACTGTGTCCATTCTTCTTCCCTGGCCTTATCCTGTTTAACTCCTGGTGGAGGGGAGCGTAAGGAGAACTCATGTGCTATTATCCACATTTTGCAGATGTGTAAACTGAGTCAGAAGGGTTAAGTCATGTGCGCCAGGTCACAGAACTAATTAGTAGCCAAGCCACAACCAGAGCCATGGTAAAAACACATTGGTTTTCTTTCTGCTGGTCCTGCCTGTCACTGGTATTATTTAATGCAGAAAAAGGAAAAAACAGTTCTTGAAAATAGAGTCGACACTATCAACTTAATGAAAAATCAAAGACCTTTTCAATTGTTGTAGAGGGTACTGGGTTTTACTATTTCTCTAGGCCTTATTTTAACTCATAAAATGTTCCCTAGTTCCAGGAAAGAGGAGCAGTGTTGGGGCATAAAGAAAATAAAGCTCAACCACGGTCTAGATCAGTCAAAATCAGAGTGTTGCTGTTTTGTTTTGTTCTGTTTTTTAGACAATTTCCAAATGAAGAATTTAAAGAGGTAACATCTCGTGGATTAATTTTAATAAAAAACTTAATTGGAACTATTTCTTTCTTTCTTTCTTTCTTTTTCTTTTTCTTTTTTTTTTTTTTTTTTTTTTGACACACAGAGAGAGAAATCACAAGTAGGCAGAGAGACAGGCAGAGAGAGAGGAGGAAGCAGGCTCCTATCCCCGCTGAGCAGAGAGCCCGATGCGGGACTCAATCCCAGAACCCTGAGATCATGACCTGAGCCGAAGGCAGAGGCTCAACCCATTGAGCCACCCAGGTGCCCCAAGAACTGTTTCTTCATTTATATTCAGTGTCCTCTCTGAACTGAATATAGGCCCATTCATTGGGAAGTTCTAAACAGTAAAGTTTCCTGGGGGCTGAGAGTTGGCTCTAAAGAGACGGTTGTTGCCATCTGCATTTGGAACATTTGGACATGTAGGTTCTTTCACTTTAGACTTGGAAGAGCTAGTGGAGGTCTTCTGTAGTTAAGCCATTTCGCTTTGTGAAGGAGACTGTGGTCATGGAAGATCCAGTTCGTTGTCCATCTCAGAGCCAAGGACAAGGTCTAGGCCAGAACCTGGGTCTTCTGATTTCTGGTACAGAGCTGTTTTATATTGTAGGCCAGGCTTTCTCCCACTTCTCCTCCTCTGGGAGTTTCCTTGCTGGAAGGAAATACTTATCCCTAAGCCCTCTATGCAAAGCGGGGACACTAAGCATCCCAAGTAGTCTCTAGCTGAAGGTGGCTTGGGGACAGACTCTGACCTTCCATCTACTTAGGGGACATCTGGTCAGCTGACCAGAGGGAAGGCTGGGGGCTCTATCTGAAGCTGCTCCTGTATAACAAGTCTACTGGTTTTCCTTGGATTGTGTATTTATTTGGGGCGGCTTCTTTTGGATGCGTGGCTCTGAGATTACGGTGACGTTCAAGGCCGATTTGCCCCAAACCTCTCCTGGGTGCTGCCAGCATCCCAAACCTCACCCACGTTCAGGACTCAGAGGAGCAGTCTGAAGATGCCCCCACCCCATCCAGTCCTTATCAGTAAGATCAGCAGTTTCAAGAGCTAAGCACATCCTAATATTTAGGCAGAAATCCTTTTGTTTTCATTACTTACTTTGGTGTCTTAACAGTTCCTGTTCTGACTGCATTAACGTTAATGGGCATACTTTTAGGGATTTATTTGCGGTCCTCAGGGATTCGTGGCACAATGAAAAATAGAAACAATTCCCTCTCCTCCAAGAAAAGAAGAAACAGAAAGAAAGGAAAGGAAAGAAAAACAACTTTTTAATACAGAATATTATTTTGTTCTTTGCCCTGGCCAGGAGCCAGTACACTTTATCCTGGCTCCCCTGGGTCCCGGGAGAGTTTTCTTACGCACATTTCTGAGAACAGATTTGGGATTGGGATGGTGCCAACTCTGGAATGACCTAAATGGAGATTCCAGAATGCCCAATAATGCTGCTTATTCCCTGTTCCAAACAATTTTCATGAAATGCGCCTGCAAATGTTGGGGCAGAAATTCTTTCGGTAAGAGTTTAAGTTTGATATTGGTATTGCCACTGATTTTTGTACAAAGTGATACTCTCAGATATAAAGAATAAAGGTTCCCTGGGTTAATCTCACATACGT